ATAGATGACTTACAGAAATATACTTGTGTTTGAAGCAATATGTTTTTAAAAATAGATTGTGATAACTTTCTTTTCTAATGGTGGATTTAAATACATGTGACTTATTGTGTTAAAAAATATAAATGACTTGTTACAGTTTAAAAAAAGAAAGAGAAAAAGTATTTTCTTATTAGTAACAAATTATTTCTCTTTAACAACAAAAGAATAAAGTGACTTCTATGTTAACAATAGACAGAAATATTTTTGTGGCAATTTTCAAATGTCCTTTTTATTTTTGAATAATCCCAATTTCATAAACCTTTCTCAAAACTTACAATTCTTTTGGTCCGAAGATTAGTTTTCTCATCAGCAGTTGTAAAAAAATAAAATATCAATTTTATATCAATACAATGAAGACGACTTTTTTATTAAGTTTTGATTGTTATTAAGCTTTTCTTGAATTACAAGTTTACAATTAATCAAAGAAGTTTTTCTTATTGACAGCTCTTCTCTTGACTTCTATATTTTGGTGTATCCATGCTGTTTAACAGCTTTATACAAATCAAAGTTGATATCAAAAGTCGTCTTCATTCTATTGACATATTTGTCTACCATGATATCTAAATAATCATGAAGGAGCTGGAGATAGAGTCGATATTGAGGAGGGCGAGGCTGGTGTTCTTCCTGGAGGCCGGGGATATCATGCAGGACTTCAGCAACAATATATTTAATATCCTTCACAGGTAGAAACCAATTGTTTCGCAACCTTCGTAAAAAACTTGCCCACAACACGGCTATAAAGAACTGAGAGACAAATAAGTAGACAGTCTTTAATTATTCATCTCTTACTGATGTTTTCATACTGAAAAATACATAACATTAGAATTATCAATTTAAAGGTAGCAAAATATATCTAATTTATAATTACAAAATAAAATTATCATACCTATGACGTCAGGGGATATAATCCAGTAGTCCTGAAACATTTATCCAATGTTAATTGACATCATCGTCAGTAAGTTTGTACTATGTAATCACAACATGATGTTTAGAAATAAAAACTAGTCCTAAATTGTACTGCCCTTTGGGGGCGATATCAAAATAATTGACACAATAAAATTAATCAAATTGACAAGAAACAAGTCTACCCATAGATCCATAAATACGCGAATAATTGCGAAACACTAATTGATAGATGAGTAAAATCGTTTCTTCTAAACTTCCATCAAAGATTTTAGAATTATTTAAATTAAATTAAACGGACTGTAGTTCAACGTTAGAATAAACTACAAGTATTTTGATTTTTTACAAGGATTAATTTAAATTAATGATTGTAATTAAAGTTAGAAAAAGCAAAAAATCCTTACAAAATAACGAATTAAAACTTAATTTTTAGAAGAAAAAAAATTCTAAATACGAGATACTTAAGTAAATTTCACGTAATATTGAAATCTGAAACTTTTTCCATTAAAACTTCTCCAATGGAAGAGATATTAAGAAGTATGAAGTATTCTTGGGCGTAGAATCATAACTGGAGGAGCTACAAGGTCACAATGTTGTATCTGTAATGTCAGATAAATTTACCCTCTCCTTCGTTTGGAGTGCTGCACAGCATTGTAGCAAGGGTATCCATCCGCCTGATTTGGAAACAAATTCAACGACATTGTGGAAATTAATGGGTTTAACTTAGCAGATGTCATTTTTAGTATAGATCCTTCAATTCACAGTTATTTTATTGATAAATCTGGTTTATTAAATTAATAAATTAGTAAATAAGTAAATAGTTAAGTTGATTTATTTTCCAAGATTTAACTGTATTTATTTGAGGCGTGATGTTGGATTACTGGATTCAAGTTCTCTAACTCTTCTTCTTCAAGATTGTCTTTCACAAAGGTAAAACTTTTATATTTTTTAACCTTAAAAGAACTTTATTTTTATATTAAAGAAATTGTTCACATGTTTGAAAAATCTTTTTTTTTGCAGTTTTTGGTTGATATTTTACCCCTTGGATTCGGATCCGTGGAGCCGCATATTTTTGCGGCTCTGGATCCAGGAAGCCAAAATCTTGCGGATCCAACGGCTCCGGATCCTAAGCACTGGAAAGGACAAACCACTAATTTTATTTTTGATATATTTATCTGTCGCAATTGTTTTTATGTTCGTGTTTTAAGGTTTGAAGGTTGGTTTGATCAGTTTACCTGTTCCTACCTTCCCTCCTCATCCTCCAACTCCCCCCTCCTCTCCCTCCAGGGGCTCTTTATCAACATGCAGATCTCCTGGCCCCTCAATATCATCCTTAGGAATGCAATATTTTTTCCGAAGCTGTTTTTAGAAATCTGTCAAGAAGCGAATTTAAATTAATTTTAAAAGGATTTAAAAAGATTCTTGAAAAATTCTATTTAAAAAATCTTAAACTGTCGATTCTGCGTTTAAATTATTTAAATTTTTTTTTCATGAAATTATTTTGAATGAAAACGGGAATATGTCACGAATAATCGGGAGTCCTTAATTCTGTTTTTTATCCATTCAAGTTTTTCGGTTTATTTGAGCGACTGAACAAAAATATTTTAAGTTTCGCATCTGTCCAAATTTTATGAACTAAAATTTTACTTTTATTTCAATTAGAATTATCTTGACTTTGAGGATTCTCTCTTCTGTCAGAGTCATGCTTTTGAAATTTACTTAATGTAAAAAAAAAAGTCTGATTGTAGGGAGAAATTTTTTTGTGGAATCTTTTGAAAGTGAACAAATTAATGCCTGAAAACTTATCAAATAGGATGGACAACTTGACTATTAGAAGCCTTCAACATTGGAATGTTTTTGTATTTTCCGCCAAAAGTTTAAATATTGTGATTGGTGTTGTTAGTCCTGATAAGCTGAAGATGTACAACAAGGTGTTCCTGTTCCTGGTGAGCGTGAAGCGGGCGTTGTGGTGTATACAGTCCATATCCCTCACACAGATATCTAGAATAGATAAACAAATAGTAGAAGAGGAGCAGGTCTGATCAGTTTATATATATAAAGTTGTAATCTCTGTGTCGGTCTGTTTGTTTATTTTTCCAATCATAACTAAGGAGCCCTTGGACCGATTTGTCTCCAATTTTGATTGGGGAACTCGGGAGACCCACGGGAATATTCTTAGCTTGGTTTTGAGATTCTAAGTTGAGTGGGTCGACTTGAATATCGAAAATTTAGTTTCCTGGTAAAATCGTCCAAGTGCGGGTAAACGGCGGGAGTAACATTTAGTAACCTTGGCAGCGCAGGGTTCCACGCTAGTATTTTATAAGCAATCTAATTAATAAAAATGGGCTCTTCGGGGCAGACCGCCTTTTACAATAAGTCTCCTTCCGGGACAATGTGGGGCATTGTCCATGGATACGCTCGGTGGACAGGAGTGCCGGCCCCAACTTCACTGAACGACGGGTTGTCTTCTAATAATAATAATAATAACTTTTGGCAGACATTTGAATTTAAAACTTGCCCTTTTTACTTCAAAATCTTCCTTTTTCGTTCTCTATTATAAATGTCGTGACAAATTTTAATCATTCGTTTGCTTTGCAATGATGTTTAAAGATTTATAATTTAAAAAATGCGGGTCTTTCTTAATTTTTGCCACGATAGCTTGTGTTAGAAGCAAAAAGCATCTAGCTGAGTAAATTTTTTGATTTTAGAGTTTGAATTTCGTAATAGAAGATTCAAAACACACTGTTCTGCCATTTTCATTATCAGAGTATGAACAGATGTTAAACTAAAATTTTAATTTTAAAGCAACTAACATACCTGGAGTAAAGCCCTACTCCATAACAAGTTGTCGAAACGTATCTATCCAGATTCAACCCGTCCGCTATTAAAGTAAACCAGGTCACACAGGGACACAAGCGTAGCTGTCCAACAAGCTATTATCAAACAGGGCACAACCCACCTGGCTCTTAATGTCACACAGGTACACAAGCGTAGCTATCCAATAAGCTATTAATTCAGGCTCTAAATGTCACACAGGGACACAAGCGTAGCTATCCATTATCCAACAAGCTATCAATTCAGTGCTCTAAATGCCACACAAGGACACAAGCCTAGCTATCAACAAGCTATATATACATATATCGATAATGCGGATCCGGATCCGCATCCGTGATGATGGATCTCCACACAAGGACACAACCCTAGCTATCAACAAGCTATATATACATATATCGATCCCAAATGATGGGGACGAACCAACCTGTCTATATCAGCATAGGGTTTCAGGATCACTCTCTCACAGTTATTAGTACGGAGTTACTCTATAAACTGACTTTATTCAAATATCTTATGTGACTAGTTAACGTGAATTGACGCAATTATTTATGATTTAATCTAATCATACTATGTATTTAATTGAAATGTAGTTGCAATGAATAATGTCATTATGTAGAAGTCTACAACATAAATTGTTAATAATGTACAAAGTACTGCAGGTTTACAGAATATCATCGATATTTGCTACAAACCCGTCGTCGAGTAACTAATCAACATTAATTTTATTTAGGAAGAAAGTTTGAATCAGGAGTTGTCAGACTCAAGCTTAGCTGCTGGTCAGAAGCAGCACAGACTGCAGCTCCTGAGAGCCTGGCTGCTTTTCTTTATGACGCTGCTTCATGGATATTTTATGTCTAGAGTTGTTCATTCTACCTTTATTTTTATATTAAAGAAATTGTTCACATGTTTGAAAAATCTTTTTTTTTGCAGTTTTTGGTTGATATTTTACCCCTTGGATTCGGATCCGTGGAGCCGCATATTTTTGCGGCTCTGGATCCAGGAAGCCAAAATCTTGCGGATCCAACGGCTCCGGATCCTAAGCACTGGAAAGGACAAACTACTAATTTTATTTTTGATATATTTATCTGTCGCAATTGTTTTTATGTTCGTGTTTTAAGGTTTGAAGGTTGGTTTGATATATTTAGCCTAAACCAGTAAGGGATAAAGGAATCACTTATCAATTTAACTTCACCCTGTAAGCGCGAGATTTGCATATTTCTGTTGATTTCTAACATGTTTACTGTTTAGTGAAGGATTAAAAAAGGCTACAGATCTGAACATGGTACTTCAAGTACACCAGGAGTACCTGCAGAAGATTCATGACAGGTACAGTTTCTTGAGTAAAAGTACAGCAGTTAGATTGGATTCAGTACTTGAAGTGCATACATAATTTTTTTTTAACGAAATGAATGACTTATTTAGTATTTTTAATTAAAAAAAAATAAATGCTTTTATCTTTTATTCAGATGTTTTCTGCATCCGACGGCAAGCATGTTAAAGGAAGCAGTCAGGTTTATAATTAAAATTCTTGTTAATGGGATTTAATTTGTGTTAATTGTCTGTTATTTGGTTAATTGGTTGATAAGATGGTTTGATTGATTGCTTACTAAGTTACTGTATTAATGATTGATTATATAATAACTTAAAACTAACTTATTATTTTTTTAGTATGATTGTAAGGATATGTCTTGAGGTTCACACTAGTGTTCTGGAGTCAAGTATAAATACCAGATCTATTCGTGCTTGGGAGGAGAGATATGCTAGGTACGCTTTCTTTTCAACCATTTTTTATGCGCCCCTGTTTTTAATAATATTTAAAGCTAGATATTAATGTTGCATTCCTTGCCATTTTTTTCTTAGTACATCATAAAATTTAAAAAAATTTAATAACTTTTTCCTGTTTTCTACTTTCTATCGTTAATAAACCTTACCTGGAGTCATGTGAGGGCCAGCCGCATCGGTTTAGCGTTTTCTTACGTTTTCTAGAAACAAACTAACAGTATCCAAAACAAACAAATATACTATCTAGTTTTAAGAGGTTGTTAATGGTTTAACTATATTTTGTTCAGGTGCCACAACTTCCTAGCTTCAACCCTGAGCACTATGGTGAGAAGAAGTAAACTACCACATATAGAGGGTCTAGCCGCAGCATTAGTCCACAGTAGTCCAGAGCAACAGTGAATAATATCTCATGTGGAAAATCTAATCGTAGTGCTGCACATTTCATTTCTCATTAACTCAACTATTGAGAGATTCTAATCATACAGATGACTTAGTTAAAGAAGATTTTTATTAAATGATAAAATACTATATTTTTAAACTTGAAAACCTTGTGATAAATGTAATAAATGAAGAATTTGGTTTAGCCATGCTAGGAGTAAGAATGTATTTCTTTATCTGAAAAGATAAGCATTACCTTTAGCTTGAAATTTGTTTATGGTCTCACAGTAATAAGATTTATTTTCTGTTCAAGTTGATTAGTTTTCATGTAATTTATAAGGTGTTTTTGGGAGAGTGAGTTAAAGTTTGGGAGAATGAGTCAAGGTTTGAAAAAGTGAGTTCACGGTTAATCAGTGTTTCGGATCCGTATCATTTTGATGCGGATCCGGATCCGCATCCGTGATGATGGATCCGGATCCGAGGTAACTTTTGATTCTGTGAATCGGATTTTCCCTATTAAATGTTATGCAAGGTTATAATTTATAAACTATATTTATTATATATTCCGAAATGTAACAAAAATGTCGTCATTACTATTATATAAATGTAAACATTAAATTATTAAAGATAATTTTGAAAAATTTTCACCATGTAAATAATACATTTACGAACCATTTTGATTTATTTATTCCATGGTTTTGGTTAATTTTTGGCGCTACCTGGATCCATATCAACGTTTCCTGATACGGATACGGATCCGACCAAATGATACGGATCCGACCGGATCCGGATCCGAAACGCTGCGGTTAATTACAGTTCTAAGTTAATTCTAAGAGTGAGATTGTGACTTTTAAAGTGGGAGTAATTGTCTTGAGAATGGGTTAACTTATGAATGGGTTCACGCTATTACAAAAATTAGTAAATCTTATTGGGAAAAAAACTTCGGGACAAGAAATATCTTATTGTGATTGATAATAAATATAATAATAATATTAATTTCATAATAATGATATTAAATTAATGCCATTTGAAAATCCTGTGGTGGTTATACTCTGCAGAGATAAAACACTTATTCATTAAATTTTAAAGTTGCTACAGTGGATATTGACATCAAGCATTATAAGACTTAGTATAAATCTCTAAATACTTTAATGTTTTTATTATTTTTCAGAAGAATGGAGTCCCTGAGTATTGTCTCATATATACCGGATTCCGAGTCATCGTCTTGTGGATACTGCAAAGTATGTACAGGCTGTCCTAATAAACACGTGAAATGAGTGACACATTGTCTTTGTTTAGAATTACCGCTATAATATTTTATTTTAATGGTCATACTAAAGTTTCGTCTGAAAACGGCAAAAGCTGTTTTTTCATTCTTTAAAACATTTAATGATGTGTATGTAAGATGAACAGTACAACAGTATGTGATTTAAACATTAACAAACAAATTCTGAACTTAAATGACAACATTTCACGGATTACATGTGCTTTCCTAATGGGCAGCACCATGCACACTAAATAATTAATCATCTTAAAATTATCCAAATGTTAATTGGGACACCCTGTAGGAGATTTAAAAATATGAATGGGATGGGACGGGGTGGGGAGGTGATTCGGTAAAATTGAGATATATTTCTGTAGATTAGGGTTTTATTCTGTTCTTTTTTTCAGGAGAAGGGAAGTATAAGTTCTGGAATGTGGGCACATTATCTATCCGCTGAGAACTATCAAGCATTACTAGATAGAGGTTGGAGACGATCCGGAAGGTTAGTCGTAGAAATCTTCGAAAATGGTTTTAGAAAATCAGCAAAAATGGTCTTTGAATTTTTATAGTAAGCGTCATTTTGATAAAGTAATTGTGTATGTTAGGATTAGAATTATTTATTTGAGTTTACAAATTGATAAAAATGTATTATTCTTTTTCTGTCTTTGAACTCGTTATGTGTCATAATACATTATCATTTTAGGTTTGTGTACAAGCCTGTTATACCAGATACATGTTGCCCTCTCTACACAATTAGGGATAAAAGCATTTAAACCAAATATTTAGTCTGACATTTTTTTTGAATTATCATTATTGTGGAAAAATTATCCACCCTTTGTAAAAAATGTTTTTAAACAGATGCAATGCAAAACAGTTTATTCCTACCAAGTCTCAAAAGAAGGTGGCAAAGAAGGTGAACAACTTCTTGTTGCGCGGCAAAGGGTGCACTGAATCCCCACCAATACCAGACTCTACCAAGAAAGGTTTAAAGCGCAAAGACAAGGAAGACGACTTTATGAATAAAAACAAAGATGGCGGAATCAAAGAAGACGGTGAGTTGAACGCAGTAAAAGAAGAGTTGAAAATGTTGGGGATGAAGAAGGCTAAGGTGAGACGGATGGAGAGAAGTTTGAAGAAGGAGAAGGAATGTATGTCGGAGAAGAAGGACGGATTAAAGACTTTCTCCGGGTCCCTTGAACAACTAACGGCAGGTTCAACATCAACCACAGGAGAAGAAACTTACAAACACCAGGTTTATCCTGACTTTTAAGTTTTAGGAATGAATTTTACAAAAATGAAAAATATTCATAACATTTTTCAATTTTATTTTATTTGTTCAGTTGAGTTTACGGCTGGTAAAGGCTGATCAATCAGATGCAGAATTTAAGGAGACTTTCAAGGAAAACATTTATTGAACAATTAATTTAATTTTTTGAGTTCAGTTTCTTAAGCCTAGCTGTCCATATCATCTTTATTTATTTTGCTGATTAATTTAAAATTATCAATTACAAATTATTTTATATAAAATCTTTTTAAGTGATTAATGTTACTACTCAGGAATCCTTTAGTATTTATAAAATTTATCAGATAGCTGTTCATAAGGTAAAGGTTTGAGGACTTTTTTATAAAGAATATGCAATTTCTTTTTCTGTTACGTTAATGAAGAGGTCTTTAAAGTCATTTTTTGTATTACTTTGTCAACAAATGAAATTATTTCAAATTTTAAATCCCTCAAGTAGACTAAAATATGTTTATGAATTTCACGAAAAATTAAAGAAGCTTATGACAGAAACATTTATGCTTTTGAAAGTTTTTCTTTCAGGACAAGGAGTCAGACTGTTCTGAAGAAACATTTAAAAGTTTTCTTTGTGATTCTCCTTTGCCATACTCCAGTAGTAAATCCAGCCCAACCTGGGGGTCTTACCATCAACATTATTTACTAGGTAATCCATAAATATAGTGGTCTTATCATCAACATTTCTTATTAGGTAACTCATAGATATAGAGGTCTTATCATCAACATTACTTACTAGTTAATCCATAGATATAGAGGTCTTATCAACATTACTTACTAGGTAATCCATAGATATAGAGGTCTTATCATCAACATTACTTACTAGGTTGTCCATAGATATAGAGGTCTTATCATCAACATTACTTACTAGGTAATCCATAGATATAGCGGTCTTATCATCAATATTACTAACTAGGTAATTCATAGATATAGAGGTCTTATCATCAACATTACTTACTATAGATATAGAGGTCTTGTCATCAACATTACTATTTGTACAGATGCCATTCGACCTTTTATTTATTTTTAAACATGACTTGAACTTATGTTTTCTTTTCTTAGCTTTGGTAATTTATCAGTAGTAGTAATTATTCTGAATTCGATATTTCTATGTTAATGTTGTTTTTTAATATTTTTAGATGGTAAAATAATTGCTGTTGGAGTAGTAGACATATTACCAGGTAATTCATGATGCATGGAATAAAAAAGGATAAAAGGTTAAGGTTTAAATAAAACAAAATAACAAAAAGTGTTTTAAGAAAAAGAAAAATCGTATTTAACAAAGTAACTAAAACATCATAATCCTGAAAAATATTGTTAAGAAGAAAAGAACGGCCATTAATAATATTAGTAAAATTAAATATTTTTTGCTATAGTATATAATAATAATATAATGTTTTATAGGATGTGTCTCCTCAGTTTACTTCTACTACAATCCAGAATATTCTTTTCTATCCCTGGGTACATACTCAGCTCTAAGGTAACTTTGAAAGTACAATTTTCAAGGAGTTGTGACCCTTACAGCGGTACCTTGTAAACCTTCCTTTGATCAAGTAAAAATTTAATATTATTGTGTTTTTTTATATCTAAAAATTCATAGTCTTTAAATTTACATAAATGATGTATTCTTAAACAATATTTTACTTGTAAAGGGAGATAGAGTTCACAGTTAGCCTTGGTTTAGAGTTCTATTACATGGGATACTATGTACATACTTGTCCTAAAATGAGGTATGTAAAATGCATTCATACTACACAGCCATTATAGGTAATCTCTTAATAAAGGTTTTGTGGACCCTCCCGCACCTCCTTCTGAATAGACAAATTTCTTGTGACTATCTTTTTTAAAAAAGCCCACACTCCAATCATATAATCATGAGTGGTTGCTCTTTTTTATAAAGAGGGACGGGTGTGGCAGGGGTCCTGGAGAAGTTTGGAAATAAGAGGCCCCATTTTAGCTTTTATATTTAACGCTGAGGTCCCAGGATTCTATCAACATTAACCAAAGGTGAATCATTGATAACCAATAAACAACGGAAAGACTGTCGTCTTATGTCTTCGGATTAAAAGAACGAGCGGAGGAGACAATCAATTCAATGGATAAATATGAATATTTGTTTAGATACAAGGGATCATATAAACCTAGTCAACTACTTTCTTTATCATCATATAATTGGCATCCAATAGGTAAATATTTATCACTTTTATTATTATTATCATTATCATCATCGTTAAAACCATTGTTATTATTTTCTCCAGTTTTATCATTTTCATCAATGTTTAATTAAGTTATTTAATAATTTGATTTGATTTGATTTGATTTGATTTGATTTGATTTGATTTGATTTGATTTGATTTGATTTGATTTGATTTGATTTGATTTGATTTGATTTGATTTTGTTCGTTTTGATTTGATTATCATCATTATCATTGTTATCTTTGTTATCCTCATCATTATTATTATGCTTTATGATCAGCAATTTCAGCTTCATCATCATTTTCATAGATTTTTACAATTACTTTATTTTAATTATTCTGAACATCATCATTATCATTTATTGTCTAGAGAAGTGTACTGCCATACTGGAAACCACAAAGTATTCTTGTTTTGAAGATGAAACCCCAGGTATAAGTCTTATCAGTCTTATTAAATGTCGTCTTAAACTTGGATGGCTATATGTTAATTACAGGATTGTCTTTAAAGATGAGACCTCAAGGATGACTGTGCACATTTTACTGGGTTTTTTTACAGTTTCCTGTAATTCCTTTTCTAAAATTTGTCTTAATTGCTAAATGATCAAGTACTAGTGAAGCAAACCTGCTAATTGTTACTTTTTAAGTGTGCTACCATTCCAGTCGAAGCATTACAAATTGTATATTCAAGCTTGAGATTTGATTTGAATTTTATTTTTCTTCATTCCTCAAAGGTTCCCACTCAAACCTGTTAAATTTTTGATTCAACGTCATCTTACCGATTATGATTTTTTTTCGTATTTTATTATCCGTCTTTAAGGTTTTTATGCAGCATGTTTATTTTAATTATTAATTTATATATTGTAGGTGGGGCAAAATTTAAACCTAGTCTCAGGAAAGTTAAACTGTTCTTCCAAGGATCTATTATTTCTTATAGGTAAACATAATCTTAAACCCTTTTTGTCTTTCTGTTTAGTGCACTGTATAGTGTACAGTTTAGTGTACCATACAATGTACTGTAAAGTGTACTGTACAGTGTACTTTACAGTGTACTGTATATTGTACTCTCTTTTTGCCTGCGGTATAGTGTACTGTATAGTTTCTTGTATACTAAAAGTGTACTGTTAAGGGAAGGATTATTGAAGTCTCTACCTACTCCTGAGCAGAATAAACTGACCGAGTTTATTGACCGGGTTCAGGACCTTGCAGAGTTTATTATACCGGTCATAACAGGTAGAATATTTTCAATCTCATTTAGGCTTTTGTGTGACCACCTGATCTTGTTATCATCTATAGCTCTGTTTACTTATTTTTACTTGGAGCCAGACATTATGAAGTAGGAATATTTGAACTACGTAGACTTGGTTTAACCTCTTATCTTCAACTTGAACTGGACACTTTGGTTCAACTAGATCTCCGTAGTTCGTAGTTCAATTAATTCTCGATATTCATTAAATCTTGTTTCACGTTTATATCTATCAATTTATTCTAATATATAATCTCTTAATCTCAGTTTATCTGTATCATGAACTAAGCAACCTAGACACACATTGACATTTTAGGGTTAAACATTTTAGTGAATGTAAATTATGTTTGTTTGTTTTTAAGATTCTGTAATCAGGAAACTAAATTGTTCAGCAGATTTATAGTCCGGGCATTTTAACGACATTTCTAAACTATTAAATGGTTTTTATTTACAGATTAGTTGAACATTGATTGCAATCACGTGATGATAATCTATTATATTGTTATCAAATGACGACTTCAAGGGACTTACAACGTTACTTTAATTTGAAGAGTTTAAAGAAAGCGTCACTCTTTAAACTTTTTAAAATGAGATCATTTCTGTCAATTTACTTCCTTTAATGAAGAAATCGTAATCAGATTTAAAATGATTAAATGATAAAACAAGGATATCTCCATCTTTTTTGCTCAGACAGTGATGTAACTTTTAAAGGGTGGGTTTCATGAAATATCGTCAACCGGTCCTTTAATCCTCATAAAGGCACTGTTAGCGTAATTTCAAGTGGCCCTTCATGCAAAGATGGCAGTGCCTGTTACCCTTGAAAGCTTTGTCTGAACAAGTATTGATAGCTATCAATGTTTTTGTTTCTTTAAATTGATCATTTTCATTGTCGGTTTCTCTGCGAAAGTGACTTGCGCATTTCTTGTTTACAAGAATCAATGGAGAAAGTCAGACACAAAAAAAACTTTTCGATTCAGGAAACGACGATATCTTCCACGTTTTTATCAGACAACGCTTTTAAGGGTACCGTTGTGAATCGGGCATCGCCATCTTTACACGGGGTTCTCTTGAAACTAACAGCTTCAATCTTTATTTAACTTTAAAAAATAATTCGACTATTCCAAAAAATGTTTCAAGAAATTGAACATAAATTGAATGATTTGAAGAATGAAAAATAGATTTAATGATTTTTTTAGATTCTGCTTCTGCTTCTGATTCTGATTCTGATTCTGAACTATAATGAGATACACTCCACACCACCAGCTAGTTATAATAAAAAATATTATATAGATAATTTAGATTTATTCAAAATATTTATAGATAATCTGGGTTGGTTCAAAATATTTTTTTATTTATTTATTTAATTTTGAAAAAGAAGTTCTGTAAATGGCAAGACTGAAATAGATTTTAGAATATTAAATTCAGTTTTTATTCTTTCGTATTCATACCTACCTAAAGCATTTTCTGAGAAGTCCAATCTTCTTAGGAAATTAATACAATCTTTTACCGCAATCTTTTTAAAAATGACACTAATTATCAAATTATATTCGATGTTCTTTTAACGTTTTAGTATCATATCTAGAAATTGATTTGAAACTGTAAATAAATATTTACTCACGGAACCTCTCTTCTTTACGATACCGTTCCATGTTCGGTTTTAGCGTCGAGCTCTCTTTTCACGAAACGCAAATACGAGGAGAGAAAATAGGGATGGCGAGACACGTTTTAGAAGAAAAGTGCGTGGACCTTGAAGGGAGGGGGGCGTGTTTTTAATACAGGGATAACTTGTGAAAATTTGATAGGAAGACGACATAATAGCAATACTTATGTGTATTTGATCTTTTTAAAAAGCAAATATGCTCATTTTTATAGTAAAATGATTTGATTCTCAAAGCCGTCTTCTTATTTCAGATCTTTCTAGTTATGACGGTAAGAAAGTGAAACAATTGATAAAGAGATTACCAAGCTTTTTCCACTGTTCTGTTCTTTTTTACACTTCATGCGCCATGTTCTTTGTACAGGGTTACCCATAAAGGATAAGAATTTATAGATGATTGTTCGGATTTTCTTCAATCCATTTCAATGCATTCAGGGTTCCTTGTAGGCCAAAACTAACTTTTTTCTTGCTTAATATTTAGTAAACCATCAAAATACTCAATTGAATGCAGAAACCAAAAATGAAGCGTCTAATCGTCATGCTTTAGAGTTTTGTACGTTTTTAAAGTCTCATCCTTTGTGGATAACCCTGTACATTACAACTATCAAAACTGTAATGTTTTCCCACGTAAGTGCAGTAGAGTCAGACAACATGAATACCCTGCTATATTTTATAAGGCTATATAATGTTTATGAATGAGACAAAAAAGCGAACTATATTAGCGAGGTAAAAGCGTGCCACTTCGTTCGTCTCCTATATGTGCAGAATGACTCTTTAAACAAAGGATTTAACTCATTTTTACAAGTGAATGAATGAGGATAACAAAATGTCCCTCAAGTACTGAATGGCATCGTTGAGGCCCGTTTTAAAACAATTATAGTTTTTATGCTTTTTAAAAGCTTTTCAAGAATCTGCAGATGTAAATTTTTAAAATTACATGCCAGACAAATTTGCTGATATCACACAAAGCAAATTTTTACTCTGATCAAAGATATTGACTAAAACGATTGTTTGAAACGGAAAACGAGTTTACTAATCGTTTCGGTAAATATCTTTGATAAAGTTTTGCTGTGTGCAATAAAACAAACTTGTCTAGCATTCAATTTTAAAATAGGATTTACATCTTAGATTCTTGTAAAGCTTTTTAAAAGCCTAAAAACGTTTAATGTTTAAAAAAGAGCTTTATAACGATGCCCTTTACGGGCTTCAGTACTCTTTTAGTCTTTCCAAAAAATGAGGTCTGCCTTCCACATAAAGGATGAGACTTCAGAGACGATTGTACGGAATTTATACTGTGTTTCTTTTTATTCATCATTCTATTTAACTGAAAACGACAAGTTTTCAGAGTTTTAAGGTCGTCTCTGTAGTCTCATCCTGTATGTACAGGGTGTCCCCATAAACATGGGAATTCAGTGACAAATTCGATATCGTCTTTTTAACTAATTCTTTGATTTAGTATAGTGATACCTACTGAGAAAGCTGTAATCTGTAAGAGTTTAGTCTGCTATGTTCACATTCTGTTTGTTTATGTTTCGACTGCATACAGTTGTACTTAGTAAAACAAGAAAATTGCAGTATACAAACAGAGTAAATTTGTCCGTCTTCACTGTTCATCTTGCGGAGACATTATTACACATCTTTACACATCTTTTACCGTTTTCATAAAATAAACTCTAGCAGACATAATAATATTATGGCTTTTGAAATTATGTATTACATTGCTAATTCATAACAAATACGATATCCAAAAGCGTCACTGAATTCCCATGTTATTTGGGACACCATGTATCTAAATATTAGGTTTTTAAAACTTTTCTTTTATCTAAAGATGGGAAATTGTATCGGTTAACATTAAACATTAAATCAATTTCTCATTATTTTTTTATATCCTTGTTTTATAAACACATCACTTCATTAAATACTCTCTAAAACGCTTTCACACTGCCCAAAGGTTTACAATCCTCCGCTTTGGTTACTTTTTATTGTATTATTTATTTAGCACCAAAAGAAAGGTTTGAGAAAGCGATTTTACAATGATAAGGGACTTAATGCGTAATTTTGAATTCTCCATTTTGTTTTAGGACCGAGAGGGAGTCCGTTTCTAAACAGTACCTTTAGAGTGATCTAGGATGGCGGACTTGTGCATAAATGTGTTTTTATTTCTCTAGGGGGTTCGGAATTTATTTCACTGGTCCTGGGGGGAGAGGGGCTGAGCCACAATAGCCCCCCCCCCCCAATATACGTACGGCTTTGAATGTTTTGTTTTTAAGGGATTATTCAGCTCCGATGAAAATGTGTCCCAACACAGTTGAGAAAATCTCTTTTAAGACTCTGTACTTTAAAATTCCCCCTTATCTCAGAAACAGTTAGTTTTGTTTAAAGATTGTCCTAGAAGATCTGATTAGAACTGATCAAGTCCAGAGCTGCTAATTGGACTTTAACAAACTTTAACAACGATATTGCAGAGGACTAGAGTATACAATATAACCAACGATATTGCAGAGGACTAGAGTATAATCATTCAAATTGTTTTGCAAATTCAGGCGTATTGTGAAGAAGGGAAAACTTTCTCCCACTTACTAAATAATTTTGATAAAATTAAAAAGTGATCATGAGTAAAAAGATATTTATTCAAACTGATAAATATTAATACGTGTATTATATGGGTCAGAACTATCCAGGATTTTGAAAGGCAAGCCTAAACGTTTCCATATTAGGGTTTTGTGGTTTAGGTAGCGTGCTCAATCTGTCATTTTCTAAAAATATTTAGTTGTATATATAATATAAATATGGAGGAGTTTTAGAGGCAACCAATACACATATTTATTGTATATAATGAACAAATATGGCGGAAAAGGGTCAAATGAAGTCATATTTTTGAAATTGAATACGTTTTTAATATCTAAGCAAAATTTCCAATTCCACTAAAAACTAAAACTCTATGGGCTTATTGAAGAAGGTCTGATATTAGCCTTATAATCATTTATAATTTAGGCCTCTTGTATCAATGTTTATACTTTAACCTTGTTGCCCGTCTTCTTGTAACAATGTCTATACTTCAACCTTGTTGCAAGTCTTCTTGTAACAATGTCAATACTTCAACCTTGTTGCCAGTCTTCTTGTAACAATATCTATACTTCAACCTTGTTGCAAGTCTTCTTGTAACAATATCTATACTTCAACCTTGTTGCCCGTCTTCTTGTAACAATATCTATACTTCAACCTTGTTGCCCGTTTTCTTGTAACAATGTCTATACTTTAACCTTGTTGCAAGTCTTCTTGTAACAATATCTATTCTTTAACCTTGTTGCCCGTCTTCTTGTAACAATATCTATACTTCAACCTTGTTGCCCGTCTTCTTGTAACAATATCTATACTTCAACCTTGTTGCCCATCTTCTTGTAACAATACCTATACTTTAACCTTGTTGCCCTCGCGTGCGCGTCTTCTTGTAACAATAACAATTCAACCTTGCTGCCCTTCTTCTTTTAACAATATAACTATACTTCAACCTTGTCTATCGTCTTCTTGTAACACTATCTATACTACTAACATCGATGGTCTGTATCAAAGAGACTGTAGTAGTGTTTATATAGCCGAATCCTTCTTATCTGTCAATAAAGTTAATCTAGAATCTAGATAAAGGAATGTATTTAATGTAGTTAATGAGGGAAAATTAGTACACGAACCCCTTTAGTTAGACAAGATAAGCTAGATATATTTCTTTGCCAATCAGGGGCGCACTTAGGGGGGCGGGTACCCTTCACACCGTATAAATGTCCCTAAATGGAGAATTATTACCATTTTCAACTATGCGCGTTTAATTCTCTCAGAGAGGTTAAAGTAAGCTAACACAACTGTAGGTGGAAACTTCAGAATTTTCACCAGAATCTTCTTAGAGTGAACTGATGCATTTTTTGCACTGCCCCGTTTAGCCATGTACAGTCGGTTTGTGTACTGTAAAGCTTGCTCTTGTTTATTAAAAGTCGGCTCCGTACTTGAAATGAACCGGAGTATGCAGTGAATGGACTTAATGATCTTCTTTAAGAGGAATGTACCAGGAAGCATATAAATTACAAATTAAGTTTCTGATGGAAGCAGTAAAAAATCTTAGCCTGAGCAATGAATGCCTGGATCCAGCCTTGAATTTTTGAATGCCTGGATCCAGCCTTGAATTTTTATGAATGCCTGGATCCAGCCTTGAAGTTTTGAATGCCTGGATCTCTGTAGATCTCAAATTAAATGTTCACATCGAACCAGGTGATAGGGATATCTGACAAATGTTTATTTCCCCAATATACAATTCATAATTTCAAACATTTTCAAAGAGTTCATATTTTGAGTACAAATTTGTTGAAGATTAAAATGATGTATTTTAGCTTTTTCTTCGCGGGGGGGGGGGGGGGGCTATACTGCTTATCTTTGAGCACTTTCGTCTAAAAAGGGAAAATAGTTTAATTTTCCTGAGGAGATGTAATAAAATCATTAAACAACTGTTCAATGGTTTAAAGTTGTTGTACATACTTATCAGGTTCTAGATCGTTATCACCATTAATAAATTCATTTCAAGAATTCAGGTTGCATCCCGCCCATCTTCATAATGCCAAACATTCATAATTCATGAACTTCTAT